TGCCAGTTCTTTACATTTGTTCTGAATTCAGTATCATCTGTTTATTCCCCCTTACTGATCAGTCACATTATTACACATATCTTTCTCTTGTCCTATACCATATTTCTTCTTTCCATCTTTAATGAAACTATTTGTGGCCATTAGCTTGTCAAGGGTTTTGGAAAGGGGCACAGGGGTTTTGAAGATCCAAATGTCCCCTATAGTTGGCAGGTTGTTCAGGAAGGGCTCTGTGTGGAGGTTCTAGGAAACTAGAACCATTTGCAATGAAATGGTTGCAGGCTAGGATATTTGTCTTCTATTCTCTGTTACCTCCCTTCTGCTTTTGTATGGTTACTTATCCATGTTCTCTATCCTCTTTTCCTTCTTTTCATTTCTTTCTTCATCTAGTCAGAATAGTTCTTGGTAAAGCATTCTGGTGGAAAGTTAAGAGGAAATTACGTTAATGGGGGCTAGAAATAGAGGAAGTACTTTCTCACACAGTGGAGAGAAAGAGAGATCAGATACCCTGGCTGCAGTCTTCAAAGGAATGGCAGGTTGTTGTATGACAGAGCAAATCAGTCAGGATGGATCCAAAATGTACAAATTATGTGCAAAGAAGGAGCGGAATGGCTTGAACTCTAACAAATGAGTTCAGACAATAAATCTTTTTTGTCACCATTATTAAAATAACTCTCACAAGAGATTTGTTATGTATATGATGATTTTTTAAACATTATCAGAAATATTATGGACTACAGCCTACCTTGCTATGCCTCAATATCATTCTCTATACCATGGGAATAATATTTTATTACTTCTTTATGGGTTGTTGTAAAAGATTAATACATGCAAGGCACTTTGAACAGTGCCAGCCACACAGAAACTACTCAATAAATGTCAGTGGCTCCTCCTTTTATTATTTTTGTCATTACTATTACAGGAGAGGATAAGGTACGTATAAACTGATGAGGGTGGTAATGGAGGGCATCCCAAAGGAATGATGTTCAACGGGGGATGGAAGTAAAAAGAGCATGGAAATTACTCTAATTAGAAAAAATTAGCATGTGCAAAGGCACTAAGGTCAGAGGTCCTACTACAGTAGCATCTCCCTCCAGGAGAAGGAGGAAAGGGAGGACAATTTTGAGGAAGAAGTGAACAACAGGATTAAATGCCAGAGAGTTCGAGGACAGTGAGGGCAGAGAAATAACTTTGGATTTATTGATTAGGAAGCCACAGTGTTATGGGCTGAATTGTGTCTCCTCAAACTTCATACGTTGAAAGCCTAACAGTACACCTCAGAATGTGACTGGATTTGAAGATAGGACCTTGAAAAAGGTGATTAAGTTAAAATGAGTCCATTAGGGTGGGCACTAATCCAACCTGACTCGTGTGCTTATTGGAAGAGGAAATTTAGACTCACCAAAAGAGAGGGATGTGACACACACAAAAAAAGACCAAAGCCCATGTGAGGGCACGATGAGGAAACAGCTATCTGCAAACCAAATAGAAAGATATCTCTGAAGAAATAAACCTGCTGACACATTGTTCTTGGAAGTCTAGCCTCTAGAACTGTGAGAAAATGAATTTCTGTTGTTTAATCCCCTGGTCTCTGATATCTTGTTATGGCAGTCCTATAAAACTAATCCATACTGTTACATTCAAAGAGAGTAGGTAATGCAATAGTTATATGTAGTCATAATAGTCATAATGCAATAAGTTAATGATGAGTGGACGGCAAGGAATTAGAAGCTATTGGAAAAGTAATGGATTTTTAGGGGGTTGAAAATATACCATGATTTTTTCCCAGAGGATTTGGTTACTGTGGGGATAGTTGCTTCTAAGTGACTTTGAGATTTATACAGTTTTTGCTTTCTTTAAGATTTATTTTTATAATCAAATAATTTTAAAATGCCGTGTAGAGAAATTACCTTATCGGTACTTGAGTGTCATAGCTGAATCTCTCTCATGACCACAGGGTGAGCCATGGTATTTACTCTTATAGTGATGATATCAGCAATTCCAAAGTTGGAAATGTTGTAGTTTCCCTAGAGTCAGGAAGAGTTCTATTTTTGTGGCAAGGGGGTGGGGGAAGATGATCCTCGGGAAGAGACATAAAAGTATTGGGGGTAGTCTTTGTTTTCTTCTAAAATAGTATCTTTGTCTCGAGTTCCAACTCTTGAATTGCAGAAATAAGGCCACTCACACATTCAAAAAATATTCATCAAGCAGTATTAAATATGCAAGGTCAAGAATTCAGGATTTACAAGAGTTAACGATCTAACTTGATTTCATACCATCCTCTAAAGTTAAGCCTGTTCTCACTGATGCAAAGCTTCTTTGTGTCTCTGTGGTCTTGCCTGACGTTCTCGTCATCCCCACTACGATTTGGTTATGTTTTATTTATACCTGGAATAGCATTCAATCACTAGTCCAAAATATTCTCTATGCTTCTCCATTCTATTCCTCTTTTAAGGTCTGCTCAAGTCCTTCCTCTCATAATGAAGTTTTATCTATATACTCTAATCAAAAGGAGTCTGTTTTTTATTATTTCCCATAATGCTTATATTCTATCTATCCTCCAGAATAGGATGAGAATTATTGGCCTTGGTCTTGGACAAACTTTGGCTCAAATGTGAGATCTTTAATTTGACAGCCATTCAACTTTGGGTGAATTGGTTAATTTTTCTGAAACTTCATTTATTTTCTTGCAAAAGTAAATGAGTAAAAGGATTGTGTTAATAATTAAATTAGACTCTGTGTTTGAAGTACAAAGCATATAGTTGATGACCAAGAGTCTGTGTTCTCTTGGTTAGAAGGAAAAGTAACTTACTCTAAGTAAAAATGAGGTTATCTGAAAGACATGAGGATGTCTCACAATAATCCAGGACAGACTAAACAACCGGGCTGCAGAGTCAGTGGGAATTGAGGCAATCTTAAGTGCCAGCCACTTCCCCATCTTTGTCTTTCTGTCGCATGGCATCCTGTTTCCTCTCTGCAGTTACTCTGATCTCTCACTCCCAGCCAGCTTCTCTGAGTCTCAATTTCCTCATAACATGGCTCAGAAATGGTCACTGCAGCCCAAACTCTAGATGAACCTTCAGCTCAAGCATCCAAATTACAGGTAACTATCTTGTTCTTTCAGTTCAAATTCCTCAAGCAGAGGGTCTAATTGGCTTGGCTTCTCTTCAAATGAGCTCACCAAAATTGGTGTCCTGCCTAGAATGGGCCATCTCTGCCAGGGGCCAGCCCTTCCCACCCATTTGTTACCTGGTCACTTTGTAGTTTGCCATTTGCCATATGGGAGAAAGGAATGACAGATTCCCTAAGAGAGAGAGACCCTAGTGGAAGAAAGCTGGGGAGCAGCTACCATAAAATATTTCTAGGATTTCTAATGCAGTGTTCACTGCTCCTAACAATTGAACACTGATTTTACTCTATCATTTATTTTTAATACTTATTTGCCCCAAATGATTGTATTTTCTTTTGTCAGTCAAGATGTTTATAATACATGCCACATAACACTTTATATACTTTTAATATTTATTCATCAGCATTCATCAGACATTCATTAGATACCTACCTGTCAAGCACTATTACTACAGATATGGTAACAAATCACATAAACACAATTCATGATCTTGTGGAGCTTACATTCTGAAATTTTTTGTTTCTATGTATGATCCTATTTAGGCACAGGAGATTGGAAGAGTTGTAATGACTTTATGTAATCATCTTCAGAGTGAAGCCTTCCTTGATCACCCAATTTAAAAGTGCAACCACTACCACTGTTATGCCCATTCAGTTTTCTTCTTTCCCTGCTGTATTTTTCCTCCCTAGCATTGCATTAACACATCATGTATTATATTTATGAATCTGTGGTCTCTACTACTAGAATGAAAGCTTGTAAAAATAAGAATTTTTATCCCTTTTCTTCCCTGTGTATTTTCAGCACTGATATTTGTTGAAAGCATGAATAAGTGAAGGTCTGAATAAATCATCATACTTAATTTTTGTCAAGCACATATTTACTGTTAGGCACTGTGTGAGCTATTCTTGTACATATTGGTTTATTTACCCTTCACAATAACTCTGCGAGGTTATTTGTTATGAGTATCACCATTTTATAGGTTGAAAAAAGGAAGCATAAACTTGCCCAAATTCATGTAGCCAGGAGTGAGAGACAAACTTGAATTCAGGTCTTCCTGATTCTAGAGCTCATGTTCTTCACTGAGGAACCATGTACAACTTTTAAATGAAATACTGGCTTAGAGAAATAATGATGGGTCTGCACTGGTCCATGCCTCACTGTAATATTCATTTGTTTGATGACAATATGGATGTAAGGTGGACTTTTGGTTGAGGAAGCAGTGTAACTGGCTTGCTATGCTTGAGTGTTCTTGGCTCCATATCCTTCCTCTCTCCTGCCAGAATTCTCAGGAAGTATGTACACCAGAGGAGAATAAGGAGATAGAGGGAAAGAGGCACTGTAGAAATGCAGCATAGCCATTCATAGCATTCTGAATTATTTATTCTTCCAAGGATATACGCATACCCACATCTCTTCTTTCTAATAAAGAAGAACTCTTCATTGATGTGATGATTGATTCCAATATCCGTGTCCTGTAGGAATTTGTAGTAAAGTGGGGGTAACGAGGCAACAGCAGGGATATATGCTTAAGGTTGTAGGTCACATAGCACAGGTATCTGACTCAATGTTTCTTAGAGGAAGATTTCCAGGGTGCTGAGGGATGCCTGACACATGGGGAAGCAAAAATAATAAAATACTGAGGTAAATCATGCATGGCCTCATGGGCCCACCAAGAATGAGAAGGCTCATATTCCTCTTGAAACAGAGAGTAGCAGATATCTCCTTTCCTCTTCTCTAGTACTGAGACTACATGCCATAAATCCTTTATTCATAATATAATGAGTTCAGTCTAATTTGCTCCTGCATTTAAAATTATTCATTTATCTTTTATTGCTGATGGAATCAGAATCCTAGAACTAAAAAAAAAAAATTAAGGTTATCTACTCACCATTTTTTTTTTCATTCAGGACATCTTAGTTTTCCTAATTAGATATAAAATCAGTGGGGGAGGGAGCTTCCTTTACCATCTCTTTGGTTCCAGATCCTACTGTTTTTCACTATTATCTTACAGTAAATATTTGCTGCCCTGGATTGTATTTCTTTGAAGTATTGGTCTAGGAGGCTTGTAGTAAACAAAAATATTTATCTTGTAAATAATGCAAGAAGCCAAGTAACAATATCACCTTGCTCTGAGTACAACATGAAAAGAGCAGATAAACCTGTAGGCTGTGTCCCCAAGCTGGTGTCAAGGCTCTGAGGAGCTATGAATGTAGCCACTGAGATTCTGAAGAGCCTCTTGTTCCAATAAAGAAGGACAGGACACACAGTTCGTAATAAGCTCATCAAACCTTTACGCTTTTACTCAGAGACGGTTGTGAATCACCCATAAAAACAACTAGAATATAGTACAGGCTTTAAAATAAATGATAGAGTATAAAAGAGATCAAAGGAATCAGAAATTGAAAGCATAAACAACACATGTAAAAAAACACTGAAATGGAGATTTCATACTGAAAACATACCAAAATAACATTGTGGCAATGATGGCAGGGTCTGAAATGATTTTCTGATGATAGAACTGAAGAAAAGAGTGCAAACTAATTTTAGAAATAGTAGCTTCCAGTCTTGTATTTAGTTTTCTTCCTCTTAATTTCAAATCTCAACACTGCCAAGAATGGAGCTACAAATAGCTGTGTGTCTTCTGTGGAATTTCCCAGTTCCCTTGTGATTGTGTGGAACTTCCATAGATTTTGTCTAGTGGATGTAACAAAAATGGTAGTGTTTAGTTGAAACAAGTTAAAAAACCAAAAGGTACACTCTGCTTCATGCTTCAGGCTAAAAGAAGAAAACAAAGCAAACCCAGTCATTCAAACCAAACCCAGTGCTTTGCTTCCTGTTTTCAGTCTTCAAAGAAGACACTGTCTCCCAGACTTGGGTTGTGTGAAGAACAGGCATGCCAGTAAAGGTAATTTAAATGGAAGGAAAAGTGATATTCAGGGACTGTGGAAGTCAGCATCCACCCAGGAAACTAAACTACTTGTCTATCTTAAAAGAAATAAAGGGGAAATGAAGCTGTTGAGACCCGAGAGCCAAAATTAGAGTAATCACATTGTAGAAATATCTCAATCCTTCTCCTTTTCCCCTTTTTCTCCTCTTCTCTCCCCCAACCCTGCCTGTCTCTGTCTCTGTCTCTCTGTCTCTGTCTCTGTCTCTCTCTATATATACATATATATCCATTTCCCTTTCTTTTTTGACGTATTCATGAAATTTTATGAAAACATAGAGGATTTTCATGTAACAGAACAATATTTCTCAATGCTTAGTGTTTCTGTTAGTAGAAAAATGGAAACACTGGTAGTTGATTTAGATAGTATTAAATTAAAAATCTCTTTTGTTCTACTTTGTAAGATATTAAAAAAGAAAGAAGCTTTTTCAAGTACATCAGAGATGGACAGCTAGCAGCTGGGTAATTATGTAATCAGATTTGAAGTGTACATTCATTAATCCATTCAGCAGATATCTCTTGAATACCTAATATGTGACAAACAGTTATACGGCTTTCCAAAACTCAGGCCATTCATGGAAAAGCTTTGGTATTCATATGTACTAATTGCATTTGATGGTGTACTGTGGCATCTTTTGAGAATATAAATGTATGTTATATTTCGCCCGTGATGAACAGTTGCTTGAGCCATTATGCTCTTCTATGAAATTGACATGACACGTTGGTCATATTTTGAGGGATTTTGCTTCATAACACTTTTTTTTTTCAGGTTAAATTTTGCTGGCAGATCCTTATTTCCTCAGAGTTAATCATACACATGCACCTTGTTGACAATTGCAGGATATTGAATTTAAGAAAACAAGTTTTCAGGAAATTGTTAGACTTATTGAGTGAATTACTGTCCTTGTAGTTTGAATATTTTCTTGATGACTTGTTTTTTGTTTGTTTGTTTGTTTTTTATCATTTTCTACATATTCCATTTGAATGCTGGAGACAGTGTCCTCTAGAATAAAGAATGGAGGAAACTAGACTGATCTCAAAGGCTTAAAAGAGAAAGAACAAAGGCTGTTGTTCAAAGGCAACTGAACCAGGAACTAAACAACTTAAGTTCTAATCCCAACTCTGGGACCAAAGAGATACACCATTTTCATTAAGACATGTGTCCTTTCTGTACCTCTTCTCTATTAGTTGCTAGCATTTATTGAACTTACTATGTTCCAGGTAACTGTTTTAGAATGTTTCATGTGCTAGCTCCTTTTATTCCCTGTGTGTGTGTGTGTGTGTGTGTGTGTGTGTGTGTGTGTATTTAATTTAAATTCAAGTTAGTTAACAGTGTAGTTTTGGCTTCAGGAGTAGAATCCAGTGATTCATCTCTTACATATGACACCCAGTACCTTCTTTTATTCTTACAACAATCTCTATTGGTACTGTGATTATCCCCACTTTACAGATGAGTGGGGAACAGAGCTATTAAGTAACTTGCCCAAGCATGTATAGTTAGAACTAGAGGAGCTGGTGTTCAAACCCAGGCAGTTTGTTTATCACTACACTGTACTGCTTCCCTACAATACCTTTTATTAAATCATTCTAATGAAAAAACCAGTGGGATAATGGCTACAATATTCTGAAATTTTCTTTTTTGTTCTTTTTAGACTATTTAAAATTATAAACATAATACTTAGCCAGTTACATAGTTTATAAAGTGAAAATTAAAATATTTTATTCCTTAATACCAATTCTACAAATTTGTCTGTTAACAGTTTGCTGTGTATCCTTTCAGAGATTTTCTATGCTCATATCACATGTATTTTTTAAAGCAAAAATGTAATATAGGGTAAGTATTGTTCCACATTT